CCTGCACAGGACCCCCACATTCCTGGCAGCTCCGCATCCAAACCCGCCAGAGTCCACTCCCAAAGGATCTCCCTCCCACCGGGCTGCACGTCCGCAGGGGCTCCCCCGGCAGGGCAGGAGGAGGGTCCCGGCACCCACCGGCCTCCCACGTGTCTCTCCCAAACCAAAAGCAAAAGCAACGACCCAGCCCAGAGCTTCTGCACCCCAGGCTGAGGGTGCTGCTCCCCCGTTCCTGCCGTTTTCTCCCGGATCAAACCTTTCCCGGTGCACTGAGCCCCCCAGCCCCCAACCCTGCCGGCCCCCCCAGCTCACCCCAGCCCGGGGGGGCTCTGCTTGGCGCTGGAGGAGCCAAAGGAAGGCGGCATGGACGTACCCCCGTCCCCTCCTCCTCGGCGTGGGAGAGCCCCGCTCGGCTCCACGGGCTGGTGCGCTGGCTGGGGAAGGGCTGCCGGGCTTTTAATGCATGGAGAGGAGGAGGGGGGCTGCACCGAGGGGTCTGGCATGGCCGCCGCCGAGGGGAGAGGCAGGATGCGGCCAATCAAGCCAGAACCCCCCTGCTGGGAACTTATATTGTCCCCAGGGGCGAGCCAGCCCCAATAGTGGCTGTCCTCCAACAGCCCGGGCGGGTGTCTGGGGCTGTGGGGGAACGGGATGGGGTGGGAGGGATGGGGAATGTGCTCCCTGCCCCGGCGTCCCCGCGAGCAACGGGACACACAGCCCTGGGCAGAGGGGACGGAGCCGGCGCCATCCCTGCCTCAACCAGCCCAGGCCCTGCCAGCAGAGAGCGATTCCCAGCCGCGTCCATCCCCAGGGATGCAGGAAGGGCCAAGCACCGGGCACAACCCCCCCTTGCTGATCCGGGTTTCAGCTGGGGGGGGACCTGGGGACCCAGTGAGCATCCCGGCCCTGGGGAAGGTGTGGCACAGCCCCATCCCAGCGGCCAGACAGCTGGGGACGCTCAGCTCATCCACCACCCCGACTCACCTCGCGAGGGGCTCAGCACCCCCCATTCTTTGCACACCGGTGGTTTGGGGGCAGTTTGGGGAAAGGGAGCTGGTGGGGATGCAGGGGGTCAGTGCTGCTCCCCTCACCGGGGTAGGATGGGAGACATCCTCCATCCCCACGTGCTCTGGGGCGGGGGGACTCCTACGCCCACCTAGGGCTCAGCTCGGGGGTGGGGGCTGTCATTGCCAGGGCCGTGTCCCTTGGGGCCGGGACACCGCGGGGACGGGCAGGGCGTGCGCGGCAGCTCCTGGCAGCGCCCGGGCAGCCTCGTGCACGCCCGGCCGCCACCCACCCGCCCACCCACCCACCCTCCGCCGCGAAAATGTTCCCGTCTCCCGCAGGCAGCTCCCGGCCCACGCACCCACCCACCCGCCGCCGCTCACCCATCTGCCGGTGCCCGCTGGGCGGGCGGGGACACCCCCGCAGCATCCCCCCCCCATCCCCATCCCCGCCGGCGGGCACGAGCTTCGTCCGCGCCCCCGCAGCCCCCCAGAAGCCCGCGGCGAGCCCCCCGGCCCCGCTCAGCACGGAGCGGCCTCTAATCCGCGCTAAGCCCCTCATTAGGCGGCTCGGTGGCCACCGTGATGGAGGCGATGTGGCAGCTGCGGGGAGAGGGGGGGGAACTGCGGCAAAGCCAAAGCCAAAGCCTGGGCTGGCCCTCGGGGTCCCTCGGGGCACAGGGGGGTCCCCGGGGCAGCTGCTTTGCTGCCCTGGAGAAGCAGCTGCAGTCCTGCCCCTTGTCCTCATTCTTTCCTTGTCCCCAGAGGCCACTGAGCGGCCACGGCAAAGCCCTGCGAGGACGGCACGACCCGAAGGGTCCCTGCGTGTGCGGCATCCCCCGACGGGGGCCTGCAAACCCTCCCATCGCGGGGGGGGGTCCTCGTCAGGCGCCCACAAACGGGCTGGGGAGGTCACCAGCTGCGAGGGGGCTTGACTTGAGCAAAACTCCCCCCGCTCCAAAGTGCCTCTCACCAAATGCAGCCCCTCCCAGCGCCGGGAAGACCAGCGCCCGCCACGCTGAGGAGACCCTGGGGTGCCAGTTCCAGCTTTCCCAGTAACCCCATAACACACACGGTGAGGGGGGGGGGTCTTCCCGGTCCCACCTCCACGGTGGCAGCGACTGTTTGCAGGGAGAAGAAACGGGTCCCCCCCCATTTTTGGGAGCTCATCTCCCCCAGGAGACAGGGCTGACTTAGCCAGGAGCGAAAACACACCTGGGGGTGGGTGATTCACGTCCTGGTTACAAAATACAGCGATTTTAAGGGGAGGTGGCTGCCTGTGCCCGCTCTGCACACACACACACACACTCACACACACGCTCACCCTGCGCGCTCCCGTGAGCAGCCCCCCGGCACAGCCCCCGCGCTCACACCCGCGCCCACGGCCCGTCCTCCCTCCCGGCTCGGCATCCACGTGGGGAGAGCAGCCGCGAGAGGAGGTTTTGCTGCAGCTCAGGCGATGGGCAGAAGGAGAAAGTCGCTGCCTACACCCACCGTGCTCGTGTGGAAACACGCGCCCCGCGCAGCCCGAGCCCGGCGATGGATCCCGGCTCGTGGCTGGGGGTGGGAGAGATGCCTCCTCCTCCCTCGTGCGCGCCCCTGAGGCTGGAAAACTCACCCCGGGGATGTTTGCAGGGCTTCCCTGGTGACACGGGGCGGCTCAGGCGGAGCTCACACGCCCACCCTGACCCGCAGCCGTCACCTTCTCCCGGCGCTTCGCGGGGACAGTGACACCCACCAGCAGCCACAGCCCGGGGAGCTGCAGCCAACATCAGGCTCTTGTAATTAGCAGAGATGCTCATTAATGCAGGCACATGGTCCATGAACCATGGTGCAGGCAGATGTGGAGGCTGCTTTGACACCTGGGAGTCCAAATTGAACCACAGACTGGTTTGGGCTGGGAGGGATCTTAAGAATCATCCCATCCCACCCCCTGCCATGGGCAGGGACACCTTCCACTAGCCCAGGTTGCTCCAAGCCCTGTCCAACATGGCCTTGGACACTTCCAGGGATGGGGCAGCCACAGCTTCTCTGGGCAACCTGTGCCAGGGCCTCCCCACCCTCGCAGGGAGGAATTTCTTACCAAATTCTAACCTAAACCCTCGTTGGTTCAAGGAGTGCACACCCCAAACCCCAGAGCCCACCGACCCCCCGGGGTCTCACAGGTTCCAACTGTTGGGAATTGGCCCCAACAGAGGAAATCTGGTCCTGAATGAAGCAGCAGCTCCCACACCTGAGGATGGAGGATGACAGAGGATGAGGATGGATCAGAGAGAGGCAGATCCAACTGCAGCTCTGGGTCCCTTGTGAATCATTTTATTTTCACTGCTGGGGAGAGTAGGAGTGAAAATACCATTAAGTTGAAATCAGTCGAGAGGTACATATGTCTCTAGATATATCTGTACAGTCTACCAGTCTATATACACATTATATATAAATATATACATAGGGGCTCCGGGTTTGAGGCTGAAACCTGTCGAACCCAACAAAGCCAACTGCAGGAAGATTTGGAGAAGAGGCTTTTATCGTGAGAAAACAAGCCTCAATTAGCACAGGGTTTTAATTAGTGGAAAGGGGGAGCATCTCAGGGTGGCTGTTGAGTCCCCAGGCTGTGGGGAGCATCCCTGTCCCATTCCCAGGGAGCAGGACACGGTGCCCGTCCGTGCCCGTCTCAGGGAAGGGTCGGTTTTGGTGGCTGAACACAAAGGAGGTTTCTTTGGTTTATTGCTTTAATGCTTATTGCAGTTGGATTTTTTTTTCCCTCTAATGCTCGGCCTTAAATCCAAATCCTGAGAATCAGGAAGAAAAGAAGAGAATAATCCCCCTAAACCCGGACACCCTATATATGCAGGTACAGCTATCAAAGAGGGAAGCGATACATGTGAGGACAGGGAGAACGGGGACAAAAATAGCTTTTCCAAAGAGTAATCCTTCCTTTTTCTTTTTCTTTCCCTTTTTTTTTCCCTAATAAAAAAGGCAAAACCGCTCCTGTGTGCTCGGTTCCAGAGAGCAACTGAGAGCGAAACTTCCAGGAGGTGGGATTCAGGGCAGGGGAGCTGTGAGAGCAGATCCAAGACCCCCACGGATCAGCCCAGCCTGGGTTTACACCCGTGTCAGCATCTGGCCCCTAAAAACAAGGACAAGTGTCCTGCTGGCACTGCTCTGGGGGTCCCAGGGTGTTGGCATCGGGGTCCTGGGGGTGTTGGGTGGTGCCTGCAGAGGGGAGGGCACTGAGCCCTGAATCCCCCCGGATCGGGGGAAGGATGCGGGGTGCTGGGATGGAGCTCAGCACTGCTGGGGGAGCAGCATCAATCCGTGGAGGGATGGAAGCTGGGAAGGGGCTGGTTGTGCAGAGGAGGGGGTGTGGTGGTGGCTGAGGGGAGGGTGTGACCACAGAGCCCAGCTCCACTGCAGGGGCCCCAAACCCTCCCTGCTCCGTCCTGGCAAATCCACACGTCCCCCAGGGATTTAGATCCTTGTTCTCCAGAACAATGTCGAGCCAAAGCCCCCAGAAGGGTCCAGGTGAGAGGAGCGTGTCCCTTGCCCGGGCACCCTGGGATGTCCCACAGATCCAGCCCCCCTCCACCTCTATGGATCCCACCTGACTGGGATCCTGCACCTCCAAACACCAGCCCAGGCCATCCCTGCTCCACCTCTGCCCCAGGGGACTGTTCCCCAGGACACCACGGGCTCTCTGGGTGCAGCCACCCAGAGCAGGGATGTGACCCGAGTCCAGCAGCTCCACCTGCAGATGCTCCTGGCTTGGGCCCAATCCAACCTCCTGGAACTCTGCCGGGTGGAAAGGGAGAGACGGAGCCAGCTCCGGGGTCGGCCTGGGGGAGGGCAGAGAAGGCAGGACCCCCAGGCAGGGAGCTGGGCTGAGCGTGGCAGCCACCCTGGGCTGATGCTGTGGCCCGGGGGGGCTGCGGGGACACGGTGCCGTCCTGCAGACAGTGGTCCCCAAGGGTGCCCGTGCCACGTGTGTCCACGGCCACCGCAGGGGAGGGAAGGGGGAAAGGAAAGGAACGGAGGCAGGGGGAGAGCAGGGGCAGAGAGGGAGGCAAAAGGGGGTCCCACGTGTCAAACACCGCCGGGGGGGTGAAGTCTCTGTGCAAAGCCGAGTCCTGGGGCAGGAGGGGCAGGGCTAGAACACCACGGACTGCAGGAGGCGGAAACACATCATCAGGTCCAAGGGGATGGGGGGCTTCAGGAGGTTCCCGTCCAGCCGCAGGTAGCGGAGCCGGGGCACACCGTCCAGGTTGGAGGGGGAGAAGTCCTGGATGGACACGAGCGAGGTGGGGCAGATCTGCGTCCCGTTGATCTCTGCGGGGAGAGAGGGAGGGCGGGAGGCAGGTTAGAGGGAAGGGAGGCACAGAGGGCGCCGGAGCCCCCCTCCCTGCCTGCGTGTTGAACCCCATCTGGGGGTTTTGCTTTGCTGCCGAGAGGGACAATCCCCAGCCTCTCCCCGAAGATCCTGCCTTTGATCAGAGCCGAAGTAGGTCGCGTTCATGAGGGATGCGGTGTCATTGCAGACAGAAAAGGGATCGTTTGGCACATGAAACCTGCCGAGCCAGCCCTGAGCCTCCACAGAAACATCAAGGAGAGCTGCTCCATCCCTGCTCTGCTGGAGGTAACGTCAGTGCCCAGCTCGTTGCTCGCTTCTGGAGTTCCACGTGTCCCTCCCCACCCCGGGGTCTACGTTAGGGAAAATAAACCCAGGGATTCTTATGTCATTACCCGGCTCCAGGGGCTGAAACCTTACAAAGGCTGGGCAAAATAGGCAAGGAAAAGCTGGGACATGGTGTGCACGGGGCATCTCTCCGTGGAAAGTCGTGGCAGAACCTGGGTGCTGGTGTGGGTGAAGCCAGCAGGAGTCACCACCTTCAGCCCAAGGTCCCACCAGCTCCACTTTGGTGGTGTTTGAGTAAAATGCAGATTAACCAGCATTTGAACCAGACACTCTTCACAGCATCCTGCCCTTGCTTCCAAACAGCACCTCTGATAGCAGAAAACATCTGGAGAGACCAGGAATCATAGAATCATGGAATAGTTTGGGTTGGAAGGGACCTTAAAGTTCCCCTGTCATGGGCAGGGACACCTTCCCACCAGACCAGGTTGCTCCAAGACCCATCCAACCTGGCCTTGGACAATTCCAGGGATAGAGCAGCCACAGTTTCTCTGGGCAACCTGTGCCAGGGCCTCCCCACCCTCACAGGGAACAATTTCTCCCCAATATGCCACATAACCCTCCCTCTGGCAGTGGGAAGCCATTCCCCTTTGTCCTGTCCCTCCATCCCTTGTCCAAAGTCCCTCTCCAGCTCCCTCTGAGCCCCTTTAGGCCCTGGAAGGCTGAATGGGAATGCTGAATTTCTGTCTGCTCATCTGTGCTCGCTCTGTTTACACGTTTCCAGGCCAGCACCTCTCCCATGGAATTGCAGAGCTGTGCCTGGAAGGGTGTGAAAGGCCCCGGCTGCTCTGCCAAGGCAGCTCCAGCTCAGCCTTGTTCTCCCTGTTCCCTCCCTGCAGGCTCAGCTCAGGAGCTGAGCTGGGCTATTTCTAACCATCTTGACTGTGTGTTTGGCATCTGTTCCTAAAATATGTGCACAGACTCTCCTTTTAAAAATCCCCCCATTTCTGTGCCCTGCTGGGGAAGGGGCTGTTTCGATGGCCAGGTGGCCCCAAAGAAGAGCTGCCCATGACAACCAACCAAAAAATGCCCTGTGCAGCACCAGGGGAAATTCAGCTCTGCTCCTCCTTCCCCTCATGCAGAGCCATCCCCATCACTCCCTGTTCACCTTGGAGCTCCCAGCTCATCTCACCACTACACCCCATCTGCAGGGTTCACATCCCCCGGGGTGAGAACGAGCTCTCCAACAAAACACTTCCCATCCTCGAGCCCATCCTCCCCCCCCAGACCTCAGCACAGCCAGTGGAACTCACTCTCGATGGAGTTGTTGTTCAGGTAGAGGTGCTCCAGCTTGGGGCTGATGAAGGGGACGTTGGTGAGCTTGTTGTGGGCCAGGTGCAGCACCAGCAGGTTGGTGAGGTTGAAGGAGTCCTTGGGGAGCCCCTTGTCAGAGATCTGGTTGTAGTTGAGCCGGATGAACGCCAGGTTGGGGAACTCCTTGAAGTAGTCACTGGGGATGTCCTCGATGTTGTTCCTGTCCAGGAAGAGCTGGTGGATGGCACTGGGCACCCCGGGGGGCATCTTCCTCAGGATGTTGTGGGCCAGGTTGAGCTGCATGAGGTTCTTGAGTCCCTTGAAGGTGTTTTTGTTGAAGACCCCGTCGCTCAGCTTGTTGTGGTGCAGATCCAGCAGCACCAGGTTCTCCAGCTTGTTGAAGACCCCGGCGGGGATCTTGGAGATCTGGTTCCTGCTCAGCCGCAGCTGCTCCAGGTTGGGCGGCAGGAAGGCGGGCACCTCCTTGAGCTGGTTCTTCTCCATGTAGAGGAAGATGAGGTTTTCCAGCTTCTCCAGCACCCGCCTGTCCACCTTCCGGATGCGGTTGTTGTCGAGGTTGACCCATTTGAGGCCGGTGGCGTTCCTGAAGGACTCCTCGGGCAGGTCGTCGATGAAGTTGTTCTGCAGGTAGAGGTAGTGGATGCGGGGCGGGATGACGGGCACCTTGCGCAGGTTGCGGCTGTCGCAGTACAGGGCGGACGGGAAGTCCGGGGGGCAGTAGCATTCCCGGGGGCAGTCCGGGAAGACGGAGGGGGGGCCCGGGGGCAGGGGCGGGGGCAGCTCCGTGGGCTCCACGGGCGCGGGGGGGGGGGGGGGGGGGGGGGGGGGTTGGGGGGGGGGTTTCCTCCGCTGCCCGCTCACCCCCCAGACCAGCACGAGAACGAGTGGGAGAAGCAACCTGAGGGCCACCTTCATGGTCCAGGTGTTTCCCTGAGGGAGGCAACAAGAGATGGGTTAAGAAATGTAAAACCAGCCCAATTTAGGTGCTGCATCATCTCCCCGCCACTGACAGGCAGGAATTTACCCCCAATTCCTCTGCTTTTTTCCCTCCCTCCCTTTGGAAGTCATCTTCAAATCCAACCCCCCTCCAGAGCACGAGTCACTGAGGTCCCTCTCTCTGGCTCAGCCTCATGCTGTGGGTGATAAAATGCTGGATTTTATAATTTGATTTGGGTTGTTTTTTTTCACGTGCCACCCTCGGCACCACCCCACAGAGCCCCCACAGTGCCCCCCTGGGAGGGCAGCACCGTCCCCCCTCCCCAAAGGATGGCTTGCCCCTTCAGAGGCCGTGATGGATTAAGCTCAATTTTGCACTTAAGCCAGCAAATCAATGATTCAGTAGGAAATTGGCTGTGGATTGGTGTCGGGAGGCCAGCAGCAGTTAGCAGGGCAGCAGAGATGGATGGCCCTGTGCTGAGGGACCGGGCTGGGAGGCAGCTCAGCCCTTTCTCAAGGCTGAGTGATAAAAAGGGCATTTGCAAGTTTACACATGGGCAGCACCGAAGGTGTTTGGCTCCACAGCTCCCTGTGCTGCCCAAATAACCCATCCATCACCTCCAGTCCCACTGCAGGGATGGTTATTTGGGGAGAAATGCTGTAGAATAGGGAGGGACTAGACAAGGTCTCTGCGTGCCCTGAGCCAGAGTTTCTCCTGGACACCAGCCCAACACCTTGTCACCCCTCCCTCTTCTCTGGGTCGTTATCAAGCCCACAGAGCTGCCTGTCCCCTCTCTCTGCTCTCCCTGCTGCTGCCTGGAACAGCAGTGATCATCCCTGCCAGACTGGCTGGGAGCTCTCCAGCTGATGCCTGGGAGGATGGAGGGATCCAGCTGGTTGCAGATGAGCTCCCCAGACAGCCCCGTGCAGAAGGTGCTCTGGATGCTCCCACTCGCCAGGGCCAGCTGGAGCAGGCCAGGCTGGGGGTGGGTTTCCTGGGCACATTCCTCGGGGTGCTCGCCAGGCTCTTCCCGGCAGGACTTGTCACCCCAGCAGGATCAGAGCCAAGCTGGATGCAGGGCCAGGCAGATGGAGGAGCTCGGCACAGGAAGGGTGGGAGAGAGAATGGGGTGAGATGGGAGGGAGGAAGATGATGAGAGCCAAAGGAAGATGAGGAAACGGGGTGTCTGCTGTGGGAGCAAGTGCTGCTGGGATGGGAGAAGCCTTTGGTGATGCTGGAGCTGGTGATGCCGATTTTGGAGCAAAATCAGGCTCTTCCAGCTTTCCCGTGCAGCACAGCAGAGTGGGATTCACTGCCATCGTGGCCACAGGGACCAGGGGTAGGGTCAGGATTGGGGCCACACCAACCCCCTTTGCCTACAGCTTCCCACGTGGAGTCCACATCCTCCCCAGGGATGTGCCACTGCTCCCAGGGCTGCCTTTGCCAGCCCGGCTCCCTTTGAAGCGATCCCACGCATTCCTGGGGCTCCGAGTAATTGACTTTCTCCAAGAAAAGCTCCTGTTCTCGCCCCCCCCTCCAGGCCCAGCCTGTTCCTCTCCTCGCTGCCTGCTCAGCTCCCATCTGGCTCTGTTTAACCCCACACTCCTCCCAGGCCGGCTGGTTCCAATCAGGGCTCTGGCATCTCGCTGGGGGGAGGGAGGATCAGGGGGGGCTGCCAGACCCTCAGCCCAGCCGTGCTGCAGGAGGTCCCTGCTGGGGATGGACGTGCCTCTGTCTCCAAGAGTCCAGATTCGGCGTCTGGCTGCAGGGAACGGGCCAGCTCATGACAGGGATGTGGGGATGTGCCCTCCCCATTCCTTCACATCCCGCTCCTTCCTCGGCCACAGCCAACCCTGTCCCTGACCATTCCATAGGATTTTGCCTCTGCTCCAAAACTCAGACCTGGATTCTGACACCCCCAAGGCCCGGGGGAGCAGCGAGGGCTGAGCTCTGGGTTTGGCCCTCACCTCACCCAGAGGTGAGGAGGCAGATGGGACAGGACATTCCAGATGGGACATGACATTCCAGCTGGGACAGGCTGTGATCCGGGTGCTGGGGGAGTGATGCTCAGCCTGGGCCACCCAGCCATGTCCCAGGGAGGGTGAGGGACAGGGCAGAGCTGTGACCCTGTTGGTGTCAGGAGCTGGCTGAGCCTGCACCATCCCCCTCCACAGCAGGATTTAGCACTGCAGATGTTTAGGGACTCGGCACGGAGCAGGAGCAGTCACCGAGCCAGAAATCCAGGCTGGAGAGCGACACATCCTGTGGCATTTGTCAGCACAGAAGGGAAATGTCAGGAGGCAGATGCAGCCCCTTTTATCTGCTGCCACATCCCCGTGGGGACTGTCACAGCCCCTCTGCCCGTGGCACTGGGCAGGGCCAGCACTGCCACCACCCTTCTCTGCTGGTCCCCACCAGCCTCTCCCTGCAAAGCCACAGCTCTGCCCGGGGAAAGCAGGACCCACTCCCAAGCAATCTGCAGGAAACCAGCTGAGAGCCCTGCCTCCAGAATAACAGGGATGCAACAGGCCTGGGGCCACCACAGGCCTTACAATTGCCTCCACCACGCTGGAAGGTTCAAAGCCAGCTCTCCCTGGGCCCGGCACAGTTGGAAGTCTGTTCTCCATCCAAGTTGAATTTACTGGCGTGAGAGCAAGAAGCCAAACTTCCAAATCCCACACCCTGATTCTGCAGGAGCTGCCCACGGCAGGGTCAGAGCCCCAGCACAGCCCCTGCTCTGCAAACGTCTCCACTTGACCTTTGTCATCGCTCCCGACGGACGGGACGGCTCAGATCCCGCCCATCCACAAGGAATCCACACCACTGGAATAAAGTTAAGTCATGAAGCAATGAATGTATTCAGGAAACCAACTGCCTGGCGTGGAGAAAAGGCACAATTCATGGACAAAACCAGTTCTGACACCTCCTGAGCCACAGGCTGTGCTGACCAGCTTGGCCTGAGTGCGAGACCAAGGCACCCAACAGATCCCAGCCCGGGGCTTTTCCCAGAAAGAGGCAGCTGCTCCCTCGCTCATCCCATTACAATTGACAAAAAAAAATCGGCGCAACAGCTGGAAATTCCAGCCCCAAATGCCACTGGTGTTTGCTTTCCAAATAGTTTATCTTCTCTGCCTCCCAGTAACCCGCAGCTCCCAGCAGTGCTCGCTGCCAGCCCCAGGCCCGGTGCCAAGGGCAGGCAGAAACCACCACCACGGGGCAAGAGGGAGCTGTGGAAAGGGCAGGGGGGGGAATTTGTCACGGGCAGAAATCCCAGTGCTCTCCTTTGGGTGCCTCCTGCCCTGCTCTGACAGCAGCTGGAGCAGCAGCTGTCCAGGACCCCCTCCTGTGGAGGGGCTGGGAGGGGTAAAGGGAGCTTTAACTTTGGGAGAGCCTGGATGGCTGGAACAAGGGCCCTTTCCAGTCCATTGTTAGCTCCCTTCACACCTTCCCCACTGGGAATTTCCATCATCCCTGCTGAGAGAAACGCCCCCACCCAGCTTGGGAACTTGCACGCCGGAGCAGAACAAGGAGGGCAAGCTAAAAATAACCGAAAGGATCCAGAAAACCTCCCTCCTTGGCTTCCCTCGTGTCCAACAGCCACAGCCCATCCGTGCTGCTGCAAGAGTCTGGGTCTGATCAGCTCAACCGAACAGGGAGCCCTTTATCCAGCGGCTCTGAAGCGCTGGGAATCATGGAAAAGGCCGTCCTCCTCCGAGGGGAGGGCAGCCAGGCTGTCACCCGGGCGTCCCCAGGGTCCCCGGGGAAGCACAGCCCTGATGCAACATCCCGCCGTTCTCGCCCTTTCCCAGCCCTTTCCCAGGGAGCAGCGGAGCCACGGGCAGCCTCTTTGGAGCCGGCACACGGCCGAGGCAGCGGCGGTGGCTCGGTCCTGCTGCATTCCTTCTGCAGGGATGGTGCGTGTCCTGCAGGGACGGGTGTCCCGGGAGACCCTGCCAGGGAGCAGCTCGGACACGCTCCTGGGCTCTGCAGCAGTTTTGGGCTCAGCCAAGGACCGCAGGACATGGTGACAACAATGAGGGGCTCCTGCTTGCCAGGAGCGTTTCCTCACTGTACCACAGTCACCAGACCCGTTGCGAAAGGCTCATCCCGTTCTCTGCTCCCTCCAACCACCTCCTCCCGCCGCAGGGTCCGTGGGAAGGCAGCCCTGGCAGGGAACACCTTTCCCGCTGCCTTCCCCGTGTCAGCAATTCCTCCCTCTCCTCCTCCCTCCCTGCGTGTCCCGACCCTTCCCAGCGCTGCTCCCGGCTCAGCCTGCCCGCGCATCCCTCTGCCACACACGGCGGGACCGGCTGGACACAGACTAAAGCAAACCAGGGGAGAAGATGCTGCCAAAGCGCCGGCAGCGCGGACCCCACACACGCCCCGCTCCCCCCCGACAGCCACCTCGCCCCGCTCCGCTTCCCCTCAGGGTGGGAAACTGCTCTGACACCTCATCCCTCCCCTCCAGCCTCTTCCAGGGCAGAGGAAACCTCCCACGGCTGCGCTTTTATCTCTTCCCAGGTGGAAACTCTCAACCTCTCGCCCCTCCTTCCCCGGGGCGCAGGGACACCCGACATTCCTGCCCCGCGCTGTCCCGGGAGGCGGCTCTGGGATGCCGCCGGCTGAGCACCACATAAGGCAGGGCCGGGATCGCACGATCCCAGGAAGGTTTCCAAGCCCTCATGCTTCGCCTTCAGTGCCAAGGGGATGAATTTCCATGTTTTGCCTTGTAGATGCTTTTTCTAAACTTCTCAAACAGGCGGGGAAAGGACAGGTTTGGGATGAATCTCTTCCAAGCAATAAAACCCTTTTCCCAGGATTTCAGCGAACATCACTGCCCTGTTGCTTCCTCCCATCGGCTCCTGCCGGAGCGGAGACAAAGAGTCGGCTCCAAACGGGACCCCCGGGGGGTGCAGGGTGGGGGCTGCCCCTCTCCTCCCGCCTGGAGCTGAGCTGGCTCCCGTCTCCACGAGGAAAAGTGGGATTACGTGCCCTGAGAATGCTGTGTGTGATCCAGGCAGGAAAGAAGGGCTTTACCACCTACATTTTGGGCAGAAAACCAGCTTGTTGGTTCTCCCCACCCCGGCGCAGCCCCCCTCCCACGGGAGCAGGACCCCGCAGCCCCCCAAGCCCCGGCCGTGTCCTCAGATCGTGCACAAGGTGTCCCGATGCTCCCGGAGGCTCTTGGAAGCAGTCCTGGCTCCCGAGGTGTCCGTTCTCCTCTCAGCCTCCCCCCGCCCCACACCAATCCTTGCATGTTTTCCCTCCTGCTTCCCAAGGCAGGGGACAGTTCTGGGCACGGCTCGGGCTGTGCAGCCCCCCGGGTACCCCCAGCTCGGGCTGTGCAGCCCCCCAGCACCCCCAGCCTGGCTGCAGAGCCCGAGGGAAACGTGCGGGGGGTTGTGAGTGTGTGAGAGCTCAGGTCGGTGTGGGGGACACACAAAGGGGTCCTCACCCCCTCTCTCAAAAACCTCCTGGCAGTAACTGCAACTCTGTCACACGGGGACCTCCGTGGGACTCTGCAGCCCCCAGTCCCCCCCCCCTCCACCCCAAACTGCCCCACACCGAGAAAAAGTCCTACAACCAGAGCAGAGGGAGAGAACAAAGACTCCAACTGGTGCAGAACAGAAAAACCAACAAGAGCAGAGGAGAAAAAGGGAAGAACAGATGCTGCTGTGGATGCAAGGGAGGCTGGAGAGGGCAGGAGCATCGTGGACCAGCGCAGAGTCCTGGGTCGGAGGCTCGGGCAAGGTGAGAAGAGCCTGGGGGAAAACACCTGCCCACAGCTTACCTGTGTGCACCTCTCCCTCCTCCTGCCTCTTATTAATCCCCAAGACAAGTCTCTCTCTGGCTGTCTCCCTCCTCCTCCTCCTCCTCCTCCACCTCCTCCTCCTCCTCTCTGCTCCGCCACGAGCGAGCCCGGCCCGAGCGCGGGGGTTTTGTTCCTGGGAGCCGAGGGCGGTGGGAGCGCGGGGGGCGGAGGGCTGGGAGGGCTGGGAGGGCTGGGAGGGCCGGGACGGAGGCTCGATGACAACAATCACGTCTTTCTCTGGCAGCCAAGCGCGGCGGGCTCGGCGCGCACACACGGCCGGCCCGCCGGAGGGCTGGCGCTCGGGAACAATTCCTTCTGCTGCGGAGGCTGCTCCCAGCCCGTGTTTAAAAACAAAGCCAATTAATAATTTAAAATAAGCCCTTCCCTTGCCGCGGTTTCCAGCAGCGTGTGTTTGGGATGGCGCGTTCCAGCGGAGCACCGGCCCCCGTGTCCCGCCCGTGGCACCCCCAGGGTGACTTAAAGCTGCCCCCAAACCTCTGCTGAGGAGAACCGGCCCTCCGGGGTCCCCTCTCCTCCCTGGCAGATGGATCCTGTAAAACGCGATGGAGGGGTTCATTTGCTCCCAGTTGGTGATAAGTTTTAATTTAAATCCTGATGGCGCTTAATAAAGAGAAGGGGGGAGTCACAGCGATGCCACCAGTGAGGGTTGGTGGGCACAGGGACACTGGGATTGGCAGGGAAAGTCAGCCAGGTCCTGGCTGGAAAATCACTGTGCATTGGGGGGCTCAGGGGGGACATTTTTGCTTCAAGGAGCTCCGAGGAAACCATGACCTGTTGCATATTCACAGCTCTGAGATGCAGCCCAGGCAGGGGGAGAAGTCCAGGGGGGGCACAGCAACCATGGGAATCACCCCCATCCCAGCACCCCTGGAATGTGGGGCTCAGGGGTCCCCTTCCTCCCCACCAATCATCCTCTCTCCAGCCAAGCCCATCTGCAGCAGGGCTCAGGAAACCTGAGCTGCTCTGGCTCGTTGAAATCCCAGTCCCAGCCCTGCCAGGGGCTGGCAGCCATCCAGGCTGATCCTGCACTTCCACACTTGGTTCAGGGTGGCTAATGGCCAAAAATCAGAGCTCCCCCAAAATTCCCACCAGCTGGACTCCCCCATTTTGCCTTGGGCTCCCTACAACACTTAAATATATTTATTCCCAACATGGGACCCCTCCCCTTACCCCAAAACTGGAGGATTTCTGGTGGGTGCTGCTCTACAACTGCCAGTTGGGATGATCCAAGGGCACAGCCCTCCCCTGCAGCGAGCTGGGGCACTTGGATCCTAAAATCCAGCATGTAGCTCCACTGGAAGCCAGGAAAAGGGATGGAGAGAACCCCCAGGGGTATTTGATGGTGTTTAAACAAAGAGTCGAGCTGGAGACACGTGTTTGCCAGCTGGAGGGGGCCCAGAATCAATAGGGAAAGGAGATGCTGTTTGAAGGATCTGCTGCTGGAGAATGATGCCAGTTGCTTTAAAAACTGGTCATAAGTCCCCAAATCCACGGGGACGTGTTCCTTGTTTGGTTGGGCTTTTCCCTGCTAACTAACAGCCACTCAGCTGGGCACTGGGAGGGGGAGACTGAGGCACCAAATGGGGCAGTTGTTTGCCCAGAAGTCACCCAGCAGTGCCAGACACAGAAAGGTGTCACATCCCAGCCCTTCTCCACCGTGTGAAGCTGTTCCCACAGCTCCTGGTGGTTGGTGAGGCACCGAAACCTTCGGCAGTGCTGGTGACTGCAAACGCTGCTCTCGCAGCCAAGGGACTGTGTTTGTTGAATTTTCTCCCTGCAGGAATTTCTGCCCGTGTCCAAGTTTCGAATCCACCTTCAAAGGCGTCCTTTCACATTTTTCAAACCCCCGAGGCCGCAGCCTCGGACGTGGCTCTGGGCACCACACGCTCCGTTTATTCCACGTCTGGAGCAAAAGCTGGCCCTGCTCTTGCAGGCAAAGGGGGTGGTGGAGGGGGGCAAACCTGCTCTCGTGGCTTTGGTTGGCTTGGGGCAGCATCCCGGCCATCCCTGGTCTCCTGATTGCCACATCCCTTTGGTTTATCCCCTTTCCCAGTCTGTTCTGCAGGGGTTTGTAACAGAAACACCACTTTGGCCTGGCAGAGGTGGGAGAGGAAATGTTTGAGTGTGAAAGCAGCAGGAGACAGAGCCAGGACAAGAGGAAATGGCTGGTCTGACCAAGGACAACACGAGGGGCAGCCTGGAGTGGGTGAATGTGGTCCCCAGCGAGCCCGGGGGCTGTGTCCCATCAGCCCACCAGGAACAGGGAGCTTCCAGCACTCAGCAGTACCCTGGTCACTCCAGCTGTGCCAGCAGGGAGGTGACAGCAGCCACACCCACATCCCAAAGGAGGAAATGTGGACAAGAGGCAGCAGAGGGTTTAAGGGGATGATGTGAGCAAAAAAATCCCCATTATAACCAGTGTCTCCATAATGTCCAGCTGGGAAACAGCAAACACCTTCATCCTCCCCACCCTCCCCAGACCCTCCTGCACCGTGTCACGGTGGGAGTGGCTCCTGCCAGGTGTGGTTAAAATAAGCATCCCCTTTCCTGGGAACTGGTCCCATCCTGAACCTCATCTCCTGGATCTCCCACATGCAGGGGACAGCCCCGGGGACACCACAGCACGCCAAGACTGGTGGTCCCACCCAGGGGGACACCCCAGCACACCACGAGTTGTCAATCCCAGCCCAGGGAACACCACAGTGTGCCAAGAGCTGCCGGGCCCAGCCCCAAGGGTTCCAAGAAGGGGAATTTCCAGAGCAAAGGTCTGTCCTCAAGCCACGCTTGCCTTCCCCACACCACAGCCTGGACTCCTCTCAGGAGCGGCTTAAAATGTTTATTTGGCCCGAGGGAGATGATTATTCTCCGTGTTATCCCGGCACCAACCACCCCATCCCGAGCCGAGCCTCCCCTGCGCTCGGTGCTGCACAAACACAGATGATTTACAGATCTTTCTAAAGCCAGATCTTAAACCTCCCTTCAGAGAGCTAAAAAATTTCATTTCAGAAAGGGCAAAAAAGAAAAAAAAAAAAAAAGGCAGCAGGAGGAAAGTTGAGCTGGCCCCGAGGCCACTCGACCGCAGCAGCATCTGCTCCGTGCAAAATGTCAAATTTCGGGTGTTTGGCAGCAAAACTTCGCGAGCCACCGAGCTCTCCGTGGGAAGGGGCCACTGGGCAGGGAGAAGAGGAGTCCAGGGATCCCCCCAGAATATTGTCTGTCAGTTTGGGACGGCCCCAGTCCCCCAGGACTGCGGTGGGAAGGTGCTGTGCTGCCCTGCCCGGGGCTCTGCAGGGTGTTGCCGCTGGTGCCGGGTGGCCACCGGGCTGGAAAATCCAACTCAGCTTCCCCCAAAGCTCAGCAGGAGCCGGGGACAGGCTCCTGCCCGTGCCTGCGGCCCCTCCACCCCGGAGGGAGCTCAACAGCAGCCTCCACACGCCAGAGCCAGAGCTGGGAGAGCGTCACCGGGAGCCCGGGAGAAACTCTTGGCTCCGGGCAAAGCTCTGCGGGGGGAAGTGAGCGAAGGGGAAAAGTATTTCGGTCTGTAATGCACAGATCCCGTCTCACGTGGCCGAGAGGATGCGTGAGGGGCTTTCTCCCCCTCTGGCTGCGTGTGGGGCAGGGGCACAGCTCCACGTGGGGCAGGGGCACAGCTCCACGCACCCGTTTCCACACCTGGAAAGCACCTGGGAATGTGGTCCCTGAGTGTGGCCACTGAGGGGACGTGTGGAAGGTGCTGAAGCCGCCCTTGAGCAAAGCAGCCCCAGCCCAAAGGATGTGGGAATTCACCTGGGACCTCGTGTCCCTTTGGCCACCCCAGCACAGGGATCCCAGCACAGAGGGAGGGAGCAAGAGGAGGAGGAGGAGGCAGCCTGCATCCCTTCCGTGCGGGTCTGCTCTTCCCAGGTAGCCATCCCTTCTTCCCAGGCATGGCCTGGGCTCTCCCTCCATCCCTGAGCACTCCCAGTGCCTGAACTGAGGACGTGCAGCTTCCCCAGCACAGATGGACAGGGACAGGGCCAGGCTGGACAGAACGAGCTGCTCTGGCTCCCGGGTGGGAAACGCAGCCGAGGAGGAGCTGATCCCTGTCCAGGCCAGGTGTTTGCAGAGAAGAGGGAAAACAAGAAATGAGCCTGTTTGGAGCACAGCTGCTGCTCTGGTCGTTAAAAGTCCGGGCAGAGCTCCCTGGAGAAGAGCCCCAGGAGGCGGGTGCCCGAGCCCAGGCCCTGCGGAGCCAGGGAAGGGTTTGGGAATGGAAGGGAAGGGTTAGGGAATGGAAAATGCTGGGCTGACACACGCACACCCCAGTCTGAGCGCTCACATCCCAGCCCTGAGGGTTCCCTGCGCCCCCTCCACGGCCTGAAGGACCCGCTCCATCACCCCCATCCTCCCAGTTTGCCCAGGAGAGAGGCTAAACTGGGAGCAATGGTCTCTCCATGGGGAAGGAGCAGCCTTTCCAAGTAGGGCCGAGTCCGAACAAACTCGTTGCTGGGACAGCCTGGAGGAGCCTCAGGCCCTGCTGAGAGAAGGGAGGAGGTTGAAGTTCTCCATGACAGGGACCAGCACAGTGGGGGACTGATATCGGGGCACACGGGACCCCCCTCCCTGCTGCCCGTCCCTCGGGGGGTGGCAGCAGGACAGGTCCTGTCCCAGCGGTGCCCGTGGGGTGGCCGCCAGCTCCACTCACTCTGCCGAGCCCCCTCCACCCTCCTGCATCCCCCAGCCCCTTCCCAGCCCACCTCCCACCCTCCCCGCTGTCCTCGTGGCTGCTTTAAGCGCAGGGAGGGGATGCAGAGCACAGCAAACCTCACATTTCTCGCGGATTAAATCATCCGACTCATTTCTCTGAGGGAGAGAAGTCCAAAACCCCTATTTTTTTTCCTTTTTTTTCTTTTTTTTTTTCCCCTGTGAGGCTCAGCAGCCACTTATTAGCTCTTGGCAGTGGGGCCAACTACCTCAGCTCATGGCCACAGTGCTGGGGGCTGAGCAACACCGACCAGGGGCCCTGGGCCCTTCCCCTGGGGTCCCCTCCTTTTTGGGGTCCCCCCAGCACGGCCCCTGCCACTTCTGGGTGGGCTGTAGCCCCCAAACTCGGGGTCAGCAAAGCCCAGTGACAACCAGACCAGCTTCCTGCACCCCCAAAACCACAGTCCCCCATTATTCCTCAGCTGAGCAGCTCCGGGCTCAGCACAGGAGTGAGAAGTCCTGGTTCTCTGCTGGTGGAATATTAGGGC